CTACAATTATTATTAATAAATTTTGCTTAATTGCTTTGCAAACCCCACTTGTAATCAACAGATTTACAATAATAAAAAATCATTTTTTGATGAAGAAACTTTTGCCTTTGTAAAAGGAATTCTGTGTTGATTAGCCTTGTATGCTTTTTTTTTCCAAGTGACTTCTATTACACATGTATTGTAGATTATATTTTTATCAGAGAATTCGGAGGTAATATTTAGTAGCCTAACTCCAGTGGGTATTGATATTTTGGATTATAAATTATTTTTTTAAAAACAAATTGTTTTTTTTTAAATGTGATAAACATGTTTTAAATGTCTTTTTCAATAAATTTCAGTCCATTAATATACCATGTTTTTCAGGGGCATTGATTCAATCTATTATTACATTAATTACATAGAAAACCCCCCTTTAAAAAAAAACCTCTTATATATTTGTATGATCTTGGGAAATCTTGGGAAATTTGTTCACCACATCTTGGGAAATTTGAAAAAAGTGAGTGGCAGCCCTGCTTGTAACTTGTAAGTACACATGTTTCACTGACGTCAATGGTAGCCATTTTGTTTAACCGCTAGCTTGTGTGAAATCAACAATAGAAATTACTGAAACCCCTACATTATATCTTCTATTAATAACTTAAATTTAGGTTTTATAATTATGGCTACAGATGACCGAACTTCTGCATGTGAAACTGTAAGGGAAGAGGATGAAGAAAATTCACAAGAAGTAAGAATAAATGAACATTGTTAATGTGTCAGGAATTGTTATTGTTGGGCACGAAAATGTAGCAGATGACCTGATGCCTGATCAGTTTTCAGCGATTCAGATCAAGTTGTGATCAGTTCAGTGATCAGGATTATTTAAGTTAAGCAGCCCTTACTTTACCCTATTTTATTTTATGAAATGATTGGCCTTCCAAAAATTGTAAGAGTAGTCTAGGAAGTATAGACTATAGAATTCTGTAAACCTAGAATTCAAATATACTGATACTTTTCTTAGCCTACAAACATTTAATTTAAATATTTGCAATTTAATTGGTTTACATTTTTATATTTTTTTTAGCTGCTAAATATTAATTATGGTAATGAATTAAGGATAAATACATCCATAAATTGTGACAAATGAATTAGGTTTAAATAAAAAAATATAATATAATATTAGGCAGGCAGTGTCTACACGTCCGACACTATTTGTCGGGCGACCAAGTCACATGACCGCCCGGAAGAATACTTTATCGAAATATTCGTCCGGCCGACCAAGTCTCATGACGGCCTTAACAAAGTGGCGCGATATATTTGTCCGTCAGCCTGGTCACTTAATCGCGAATGATTCAAAACTATTGTTAAATTTAAAATCTATTTCTCTACCAAGTAATTTACTGAGTATCTTGAAGACAAATAATAGGAAAAAATACTTGGGGTATATTGCCAAAAGAAATTGGGGGTTAAGCAATAATAATGCATTCTAGAAGGAAGCAATGCTGAGAGGGAGAGAGAATTACGGTAATAAAAAATATGAATGCTAAAAAAAATTATAATAATGAAATGATGGTGATAAATAATTAAGTTTAAGGCGGGGAGGCCAATAGTTCACAAAGAAATAGACCCTACATTGGAAAAAATACTTGGATATATTACCAAAACAAAGTGGGGGTTAAGCAATGATGCATTCTAGAAAGAAGCAATGCTGAGAGGGAGAGAGAATTACGGTAATAAAAAATACAAATGCTAAAAAAATAATAATGAGGGTGATAAATAATTGAGTTTAAGGCGGGGAGGCCGATAGTTCACAAAGAAATAGACCCTACATCTTAATATAGGGCCGATATAGGGGTAGCCTAGTCTACTTCGCATGCAATACTATCACTAAATACTAATACTGAAATACAACGTTATTGAAATAGGTCAATTGAAGTCTACGTCTACTGGTCTTATTTTATTTGGTTCATATTTTAAATTTAGGCTTGAAGGTAGAGCTTTACAAGATGTTTAACCAAGATAAGGGACTTTTTTCTTTGAAAAGTCAGAATTAAATAGAATAGTAATAGTAGTAGTAGTAGTAATATTACTACTAGTGTAGTATTACTACTACTAGTTAGTATATAGGCCGACTAGTTTAATATTCAAAGTCAAATACTATACATATTTCAGAGCATTTGAATATATTAACATGTTCAGCATTTATTTATTGTCTAGGGATCGGCTGACTAATATATGTACACAATATGGGAATATTAAATGCAATACAACTATTTTTCCGGCGACCACTTGTCACATGACCTGCCGCAATAATTTCGTACAGCGGTCACGTGACAAGCCCGCCGGACGTATATCTCCTGCACTATTTGTCCGGCGCGCCGGACGTGTAGACACTTAATTAATATTAATGGCAAACAACAAGCAACAACAAAAAAATTACTCCCCCACCCCATCCTCACTCCAGGACGCTTTTAGTCACAATCATACATGAGAAATGAGGTAATGATTTTTTTTGTGTATTTGGAGTCTCTGTAAAGGGTTTTGACTCTCATCGTGTTGGCGAGTGTACGTTATAACCTGTCTTATATTTAGAGAGAACATACATTTAAAACTGAGCATTTTTCATATGTATTTTTTCAAAGGATAAAAAACATGTGGAGCAAAGAGAAGAAGAAAAGCTGAAGTCAAAATATCCAAATCTTGCCAAAGGTGGAGGAGGGTCAGCTCTTTTAAACAAAAGACTACAGAAGGGAGGAGTAAGTGACTATAATCTAATTTAGTTTATACATTATGTTGTTAAATTACTTGCCATTAGAAAGTCCATATTCTGGCCTGTCGCTCAGGAAAGAGGAACATATTACATTTATGATAAATAATAGAACAAAGCTTTAGTTGTGTCTGTATTTTATTTTTGTACCAAAACCGCTAACTGCCAGTCTAATTTATTTAATTGTAATGTGACTTCCATCATCTTTAGCAATGGTGCCCCACCACAGCCTTCCATTCCGATCAATCCATGGCTTTCAGCCTCCATACACAGACCCCCAGATGTTGCCTTTCCCTACATTGTTGATCCATCTCAGTCTTGGTCGACAGATGAGCAGTCTGCATCAATTTGTCACTGAGGCAGGCCAAAACTCCTGTTCTGCGTAGACTTGAAACATTCCAAAAAATCATGTCCTTGTTCAGGCATAGGTTGAAATCAAATCCAAAAAAATATCAGTGCATTTTTTAGTTTGTGATTTAGCTTTCGTAACATTGGATTTTTTATGTGAAAGGATTGTCACCCCTGTGCTCAACCGTCGGGGGGATGCCCCTTGCAGCTCAAAGGCTAGCTACCTTTGTATTTGGTCGTCCCTAGCCTTTGTGGATCCCTCCACTTCCTATGAGGCAGTAGGTTTTTATTTTGGTCCACTCCTTGTATTTTCTTTCCTCTGTATCCGTCATATCTGGTGGGCTTTCCCCTATCCGCCTCCTGGGGAGATGTACAATGGAAGATCATTATCTCCACACAAGTAATGGGACTCCCATGGCTGATAATGCCACATTCTGATTAACTGGTACCAGACATGTGTTAGGCCAGGCTGACAGCAGCTGTTGTGAAAAGGCATGTACAAAGTATTTTTGTACAAGTTTTATGGTGGCTTCAATCATTATTTTATACAATTATAAGGATTTCCGTGTTGATTTGTTGAAAGGTTAGCTTTTGAGGTAACCCATCCTTTTCATGTCAGTGAACTCAGGACCATGTCAGATGCATTATAAAAATGTGTTCCTTAAGCAGTAAATTCCAATTATTTTTTCTTCTTTTTTTTTATATAAAGTATTGTAAAACAAATCTGAAGGAATTAAATTCCAGCCAGGGGTGCCACTTTTCCGCATTATTCCGGATTTGTGAGGCTACATATTTTTCAGGCCGGATTCACAAGATTTTATCCTCTCTCTCTCCGGATTCACCAGTTCAGTTTATTAAAATGTTGATTTGGGCTTAAAAAAATCGTGTAAGAACGCATGAAAGCCTGTTCCAGGGAGTGCGGATAAATAGAACAGTTACTGCAACCTCTCGCTTTCGTTTGTAATCATTGCACCAGAAATTATTTCTACAGTGTGAATTTATGAGTGTTGTAAAGTTTCAGGGGTTGAAAATTTTGTAAATTAAGTTTCAGGTTTCAAGAAATTTTTTGAAAGGGCTTTCAGGGTTCACAGCATTCAGTGAGTGGCACCTCTGATTCAAGCTCAAAATATTAGTTATTGGTAGAAAAATTAGTCATTTATTGGCTATTAGTATTAGTAATTAGCATTTACATTTTTTTAGCCTAGTTATCATGTTTTAGTAAATGATAGCACCAGAAATGATCTGAGTGTTCTGTTTATTGACTGATTGTCATTAGGGAAAGTTGTTGCATATTTATGTCTCCATTTTCTCTTCCTGTAATTGTAATCCAGCAACCTATTTCTAGAGATTCATGATCACATCACTCTAATGATCATCTGATGTCTGCGTCTTTTGCTTTTGTTTTTTTTTACTATTAAAAGCATTGCAAGATGTTCGTTGTATGAAAGTATTGTATGCAAATACTTGGAAGTTTTGGGTGTACAAAACTTTGTATCTGACACCTCCAAGCTTAGAATGTATCTGACACCTCCAAGCTTAGAATCACAGTAAGAAAATCAGATTTAAATGAGTCTTTCTGCTCATACCTTAATATATAATTCTAAAGGCTTGTTGCTAGCTAAGTAAGTAATGTGCTTCCTTTTTCCCTTCTTTCCAATGCCCAGTAATTCAAGGTAAAACTAAAATCCAAGTTTGCCCAATCTTCTCATAAATTCTTATTCGCCCCCATTAGAAAATCTTAATCATTTTCTTTGTTTTTGAAATGTAACTATTTCAAGTATATTTTGTAAATTCCAGACTTAAATTTTAGAATGTAATGTTAAAATTGTTAAAACATCAAACAGGAAATTTTAATATTAATGCATTTCTTTTTTTTCTTTTTTTTAAAGCAAAAGTACTTTGATTCTGGAGATTATGCCATGGCCAAAGCTAAGCTTAGTGCAAAATCAAAACCTACTCCGCCGCCTGAGAAAATTATCAAGGCAGAAGCTGTTGGAGAAACTATTCCCACCCCAGAGAATATCCAAGCAAGGAAACCATCGCTTGTCACAAGCAAGCTTGCTTCTGGAGAATTAATATGAACTAGAGCACTGGACAGAAACAATGACATACAATGAGAAAATAAATTGATCTTCATCAAGGATTGTTCTGAAGATCCTTAAGACATGGTTTGTTTTTCTCAAAATAACACATAACATTGCTCCAGACTTTAAATTGAAAGTTATGATGTTAAACTTGGAAGTATTTCTCTCAATCACAGGTGACTTAAATCCTCTGTTTGTCTTTTTGTGTAGACAAATAAAGAATAATGATTCAAAGTTTAGATTAAAATTTGAGAAAGAGTGAATTTGTAAACAGAAAAATTTTGACAAACATTTTAATGACAGATATTGTTATTTTTTAAATATCATACTAAATTCATTCAAAAAGGCTTTCATCCGTACCAAAATTGTGTTTTATTAATGGTAGCTAATAGTTTTTTTTTAATTTTTTAAAATTATTTCTTAGAGAGCTATCCTAAGCTCCTCATTTTGTTTGATATTTTAAAAAGATTATATGAATAGTCTTAATTTAGTTTAAATTAAAGTTGTCTCTTATAGCGTAAGAGTTATTCAGTATATGCAATACAGTAACTCCAGAGTTTGAGGAATATTACATTCTCCCATGCTTTAGACATCCTAATAAATTAAGAGTTATAAAAATATTTGAACTCTTTGGAAATATCTTAGAAAATTCTTTATTTTATAAATTTAAGTTATTTTTGTGTCTTTGAGGATGATACTGTAACATTGTTACATTAATTTTATCAGCATCTGAAAGAGTTTGGGAGACACCAACAAAATAATATCAATTTAATTGCAATGTGGATAACCTATAATGTTAAAATAAATGATTCTTTCAATTTGCAGCAGATATTGAAAAGTTATACTTTGTGTGTGTTTTTTTTTGGTGGTAATGCCAGTTTAGCTTGGTATCTTTTTTAAAAATAATCAACATTAAATCACTTGTTCCACGCTTAGACTATCTGCAAAATTAGCTAAGGTTTAAGTATATACTAATTACTTGTAAGAGTAAGAGCATACCGTAGTAATTGTTTATCAAAGATGAAAATGTTTACATTATTAAAGCACCTGTAAAGCTAGTATTTTAAGACACTGGTATGGACTTAAATATTTCATATTAGTTGTGGTAAGCAAAATATATTTAAAATGTCCCCTGATTCTCAATACAAAATAAGCTGAAGTTTCAAATGTAGAAAACTAATTTCTATACTTGAAAACATGGTTACGTATTTATAAATTGCACAGTAATTCTTTAATATTGGACATAGGGCTTTTTGTAATCAGTCTTTCAGAGAGAAATTTTCAGTGATGTTGATTGAACCATTGAGACATCACACTGTTCATTTCAACAGCACACTTATATTGGGCTCAAAGGTTTTTCCTCTGGCTTAATACGATTTTTTAACTGAATTTATTTGTATTTTTCTAATAAGTACTATCTATAATATCTAGTGATACATAGAAAAATACAGTGATAAACTTCTGTTGTTTAATTTTTAGTATTACCCCCCTAAATGTTGTTAAAATGCTTTGTTATATAATGTTTATTTAAGTGGTGTTCTGACACTATGGTTTAGACAAGAAAACACTGGGATTTGATGTCAATAATTTTCATTTCCCAGTTTTATTTAAGTATGGACTAGAGAGTAGAAATGCTATTACGAATATTCTTGATGTTAGAAATGTTTAATTTGATTCCCAGGGCTTTTGTTCTGTTCTGTTTTTTTTTTTTTATTTCATATCTAAAAATGTAACTTTGATATTAGTATTAGTAGTCTAGTGCTTTAACAGACTATTGCTTCAAATTGTATTTTGGACACTGAAAAAAAAAAGAGTGTCATAGATCTATGAACAGTTACTCTGTTATTTAACTCAAAGGAATGGTATGTGAGATTTAAACTGACTACCAGTACAACAACTTTTGAATATGTCATCAGAACAAGGCTGCATCTGAACAAAAATCTCCTAGGGTTATTTTGGCTTAAATTAGTGGTTCGTAGGTTTGCTAAGGAGGTCAAATAGTGTGTATCTAAGAGCAATGTAAACTCATCACACACAGCATTCCATCACCTCATTGTTGGTATTACAACAGTCAGTACTCATTTGAATGAAATCTGAAGAACTAGTCAGCTAAATGTCCATCTCATAATCAGTAGCCATCGTGTCACTGTGTTAAGGTCTATCACAACTTATTTTATGTTTAAAAATTCATTGCAAATTTTAATGAAATAATTTTTCACAAAAGATTTGCCTATATCAAGAAAAAGTATATGCTGGCTTAAAATGTCATGTTAGAATGTTTTAAAAAACTTTTGATACATATCTGTTCTAATTATTTAAAGCACCACTCATCTGTTCATTGAAATTTAAAGCTATCAGTATGGGAAAGCAGCTTAAAAAAAATGTGACCGTAATAACTTTTATTTTTCAAATCACTCTTTCTCTGTGTATCACTTTGACACCATTCACTCAACAATCTATATTTCTAATGTTAAATGTGACAATTTCTTGAGTAAGTTTAGCTTTGTACTCCCCCTACCCCCACCCCCTTCACTGATTTCATGTGTACATAATTCCATTCAATCAGCAGGGACATCTCACCACTGTCATCCATTTTGATATCGTATTGTGCCTCAGTGCAGGTTGTTTTTTGCCATGAACCATGAGTCTGCAAGTAGCTGGTGGCATCCTAATGTTTGGTCTAATTCATTGAATTCTTGATTTAAGAAAAACAAAAATGTCCTATAAAAAAAAACCCCAAGTGCTTGACACTTTGAGCCCTTGAAACCAATTGATGTCAGGACACTTGCGCACTGCCTAATTGATGGTATTGTCATTTCTCTGTATATGTACAACTGGAGTATTGCTGTATGTTTGTTATCAATGTGACCCACCATTATGGGCATGGCGCTCATTTGCTTTATGAAAGGGGGAACAGAAGACACTATTGTTATCCAGTGAACAAAGCAAATGGTGGCGACAACAACAAAGTTAATATAAAATTTAAATGATAACTTCACAGATTTTGTTTGTTTTTTATTTTAAAAATGAAAATAGTTTGGTTTCATTTTAGTGTGGTGTGTATATATGATAGTGTCTGTTTGAAATTTTAAGTTTACTCAGTTTCTATGGTTTGTACCCAGTACCATTAAAATTTACAGTAGTCTCGGCTCACAAGTTTTAGTGATGGTAGTCCATTTATTATTTTTTTGAAATGCACTAATCACTAAGGTGCTGTTTCACATACGGGGTATTTCTAAAACGAACATGAAATCATCCCTAACCCACAAGAATGGCTCAGTTTGCTTCAACTAGAACATCAGTGGTAAAAGTCTTCCATCCAACTCCAGACAATTTTCTAATGTGTCCGGTTCTCTATTCCGTTATCACTTTTGAAAGAAAGTGTGCAACAACGAATAGAGTCGATGTCAACAGATCAGTACACACACAATTCGAACTTAAGGAAAATCCTGTGGGCTTTATTTAACGAAATAGCATTAAAAAATTAAACTCTAATTTTACATATATCTTATCTGATCTAAATGTCAACTCTATGAAATCCACATAGACCATACGTTGGAGAAAGCTCCCCTAAGTTAAGCGTCCGGAAAAACATCACCAGCACCCCGGCACTCGTTAACCTTGGATGGATGGCAACTCATCTAACAGAAGGATGCCTGGAGATATAGGAGTCCCGTAGGCGGATAGCATTGGCACAATGAAACATTCCGACAATTCCTGCTTCGCCACTGGTGCCAAGCTGTATCATCCACATGATGTTCCCTTGGGTTATCCAGCGGCGTGGAAAAGTGTGTGTGGGGGGGGGGTATTTTCTGTGTAGGAACCCAGCTTATACATATAATCCTAAAAAGAATAATTTCGTCATGCGAAGTCTACAACATTGTGACGGACGGATGCCAGTGAGCAAAATTAAACATTGCTAAGAAGACCCGTAGTTTGACTGGAATATGTAGAAAGTTGAATAGAGAACCTGTAGGAGCGTGTACATTGATGGACCGGTATATGAATATGCCTTATACAAATACAAGTCAGTGGCGTTACTAGGGTAGATGTCACTTAGTGCAAATTGTCTAAAGAGCACCGACGGTACGTTTTAGTCCTAGGCGACTACCACATACTCGTGTCATACTCATAACTACAACTTAGTACCGGTACAACAGTCTCTCCCTTAGTACCGGTACAACACTAGAGGAACTGTCGGCCCATCAATGGGAATGGTCATCGGAAAGTCATAGCAGCTTGACAAAAGAAAATTGTTTAAACATTTCAAATCATTTGATTTGAAAATATAATGATCATATAGATTTAGCTTAGGTGAAATGTAAAATTTTAAACATAATTTATGGTTTTGACACCTATGCGTCTTTTGAAGACGAATTGAATTATTTTTGTAAAGAACACAATGTGTGTTTCACTAAAAGATCGTCAGAGAAGATGAAAGATCCCAATTTGGAACACCTTAAATATGAATATAATTCACTGTTGCAAACAAGGCGTTAAACGCAAGTCAAAGTCTTCAACGACAACAGGCCAAAGAAAATCACAAGCGTAAGTAATAAAGTAATAATAATAGGTTAACTTTAAATTTAGTTGGTCTTGTCATGTAATAATTCTTTCTCCAAGCCAATGATTATTACCACGGTAAATGTAGAGGACGAATGCCACTATTTTATCGATGGCCGCGACTAATGTATCCCTAAATCGATCACTATGCCTAACCTGAACCCTAAATCGACCTCTCAACCTAACCTAAACCCTAATTCGCTGCAACTATAATAAAGAAGCAAATGACGCCGTGGCATTCGTGCTCTACATTAGCCCTTTCCACTTTTGGCAATTCGTTGAGAATTTTTATATTTTTCAGTTCTTTCAAATTGGGATGCCAGGCAAAGATAAAGCTTGTTGCCAGGAGAAATCCATCTCGGCTAGAAATTACCAAATCAATGCATGAAGTATCAAAAGAAGTAAGTGCATGTGCTGCGAAAAATATTTACATAATAATAATAAATAGCTTATTCTTGTGGCAGGTTTGTTGTCACCTACAGGTACTCTAGCCTCTAGTACTATAGAGTTTAGATGGATGCATTTTAAAAGAATGTTTTATACCATTCATTAACCCATTCAATCTAGGGCGCTCAGAAATTTTATCACTGAAAACTTTTGGTTAAGGTTAGGGTTACCACCCTTACCATAGAAAGGT